CAAAATCGGGTTGATTTCAGAACCCAAGATCAGGCTGAAGTAAAGATGTTACAGCTTGACATTGTTTGGACGTTACCACTATGACAGCTATCAGATGTTGGATTTTGGTTGTCAGTATTTGACCTCAATATGACATTGCTTTAAGATGGTGGCTCGATGTTGGATTTTGGTCACTTTACACCACAACCTAAAATCAACCAAATGTCAACATCACTTGACGTCGTTATTGGACGTCAAATCAAAACGTTGTCAAAGAGCATAGAATCACCAAGAGGTAACACTCTAGTGCAATTTGGGAAACAGCTACTAGATGGTGCGGCGGCCATTTTGGAATGAAAACTCCAATAGAACAACAGCATATTATAAGTCTGTAAAATAAACTATTAAAAGTGCTGATGATTGTGATAGTAAGTGTTGTATCGTCGTCTTTCAGGTTGTATCTCAGCTTTAATGCACTTTTTAAATAAATACATAAAAAACAAAGCAGCTGCTTGGCATCGCGACAGCAGTAAGAACCAATGCACAGCTGACCGCTTTCACTCCAAAATGGCGGAATCCGGGGTTGTTGCCGGGCACTGCTGTTGCAAAGGAATGTTCTATTGAGTGTCGCCTCTTGGTCATTCCAAGCTCTTTGATGTTGTCTTTAGATGCTGGCTAGACTGGCTGGCTGGCTTTTTGGTCACCTGACGAATTTCTTATGATGTTGTGGTTACAGGTTTCCAAACATTTTATATAACTCTTCTTTTGTGTTTAAGAGAAGAAAGAAACACACTGGTTTGAAACAAGTGATGTGGGGTGTAAATTAGGACAGCATTTTTGGTGAACTGTCCTGTTAATCAAATTTTCACTTATCCGTACTTTCAAAACAACTTTTGTTTTGTGTTGTTCAGAAAAATAAATAAATAAATAACATGGACACACTTTATTTTGATGGTCTGTTTGTTGAATTTAAGTTTTATTGCATCTACAAGTTAACTAATTCAGGTGACGCAGTGGCGTAGCAGGTAGGGCTGTCGCCTCACAGCAAGAAGGTTCCTGGTTCAAACCTTGGCTCGGCTCGACTCAGTTGGTGTTCCTGTGTGGAGTTTACATGTTCTCCCTGCATTCGCGTGGGTTTCCTCTGGGTGTTTCGGTTTCCCCCACAGTCCAAAGACATGTGGTACAGGTGAATTGGGTCAGCTTAATTGTCCGTAGTGTATGAGTGTGTGTGTGTGTGAATTAGTGTGTGGATGTTTCATAGAGATGGGTTGTGGCTGGAAGGGCATCCGCTGTGTAAAAAGGTGCTGGATAAGTTGGCGGTTCATTCCGCTGTGGTGACCTCGGATTAATAAAGGGACTAAGCCAACAAAAAATGAATGAAAAGTTAACTAATTCTCAATAAATTATAAGTAGACTGTTAGGTTGGGGTTAGGGTTTTGTTAGTGTAAGTTGACATGCACTTGCAAAGTTTCTTATCGTCAGTTAAATGTCTGTTGAAGGAGAAGTGTCAACAGATATTAAGCAGACAGTCTACTAATTCTCAAATGGACCATCAAAATAAAGTGCTACCAATAACATTATATGGTTTAGGAATGACTTGAGGGTGAGTAAATGACAGAAATCTCAATTATTGCCGAACTAAGTTTTACACCAGCTCTTCAAAGTTCAACTTAAGTGACTTTCAGTTCCTTGTGGACACTGTTCTACTTTAATTTAAAAGGGTTATCTTAAGCTTGATGGGGTTCAGAAAACTACAGTAACTTTCAACTTCAACACTCTGCTTTGTATCTTATATATTTCAATGAGGGTTAAGTCCATTTAATTAATGGAAGCAGGGTCTTGCTATCCTTGGCTAACCCCATTAACAGAGGAGGCCATTGGAGAGTTAACTAGTTGAAGTAATTAGAAGAGGAAAGTAAAACAAGAGCCATATGCACATGGGACAGCGGCACTGAACTCCCTGAGTGTACATGAGTGTGTCTGGGTTTAAAAAGCTGACTTTTCTGTAAGACTTACTGCATTCAGTCTATTCCATTCTTGCTAAACTTTATAGTTTAACATTGTCTGCAAATGTCTCTTTACAAAATGAGGTTGTAATCAATGTATATAACAGTTAAAGGACTAGTTCACCTAAAATTGGACATTTACTCTATCTTAAGTGGCTATGAACGTTTATGTCTTTCTTCTGTTGAACACAGAGGCAGATATTTTGAAGTAAGCTGATAACCAGTAACTACTGACATCAACATTAGAAAAATATTGTTATAAATATATGGTTATAAATAAGACATATAAACGTTGATTTCAATAGTTTATTAATCATTTACTAACTCATTCTGAATGATCCTAAAAACCCTCAACTACTCTTAAATACAACTGGTTTGTAAATAATGCGATACTTAATTTAGTAATGAAAAATAAATCATTTACTAAGTATGAAAATACAATTATTAAGCACATTTTAAATGTGGTTATAAGTCCACAATAGAGCATTTGTAGCTGCAGTAATAAACTGCTTACTAACGTTTATTAATGTAGAGTTAATGCTTAACAGATAATGAATTCACTATTTGCTAATGCTTAATAAATGATTTATAGTGTGTAGTTATTATAAAGTGTTACCCATAAATCTATGCTAAGCTAAGCCATACTTAGGGCATACTCGCACTATGCTATCTTAACCGTGCCCAGGCCCAGACCCTTTGAGTGTCCCGGACCGTTTGAGCTCAGGCACGGTTCAGTTGGCCGGCCCTCGCCCGGTTGGAAGAGGTCTGCCAGAGTGCGGTTCACTTGGGCTTTGGCGCGGCACGCTTGTAGTGTGAGTGTAAGTCATGCCTGAGCCCAAACCTGAAGACGAGACGTGAGTTATACGGGACCGTTTCATGTGGATTTATTAATCATTCTTACTCTTCAATGAACGCAAACTGACATAGATTGTTAACGATGCAAACTCCTCACTGCACGACAACTGCAGCTTTAGCAAACCTCCTAAATCCTGCAGCACGAGGACTTTATGATTGTTTATGGGCGTTAAAAGTGGCTGATCTGTTCGGCAAAATGATTGACTGCGTGTAACTGCTTCGCCAAACCACTAAACCAATATAACTAAAGAAATCTCCACTGTGCTGAGCAAGATTGCTTCTTACTAAACAGCGCATTATTGATGAAAAAAAAACATATTAAAATGAGTGGCTACAGAATTAAAATTCTTCAAAGTATTTTTTTCATGCTCAACATAATAATGAATCTAAAATCAGTTTCAAAGGTGAAGAGTGAGAAACACCCTTATTAACATTCACAACATTCATTAACATTCAAATTAATTGTTTACATTTAAGAAAAATGATGCAATGTTACAATTAGAAGTGGAAGGCGTGATCACAAAAAATATTTATCCTGTTTGAAATAAACCTTTACAGTATATTTAGGTGCAACCGTACCGTGTTCTTAGTGTTCCTTCAGACCTGTCTGGCTCCATCAGAGTGCATTATTTTAAAGTGGCTCCATTTTCCACTTGACTACACCTGGTCTCTTTGGTGATAGTTTATGATGACCTCTAACCTTCAGAGTTATGTTTGGTGCACTTAGAGGGTCCACTAGGACATCACTCTCACCCTGAGAAATGTGCTAAAAGCAACTCACACACTTCCAAAAAACTCACATTCAAAATATACTGCAAAACAAGAAATAGAGTCAAAATGACACTCTAATGTAAACAAAGAATGCTCAAATATGAATTTATGCTCAAAATATATGCTCAACCTTTTTGTTGAAATTTTATGTATGTACAGTATTAAATACCTTTAACTCAACAATTAGGTTTGTCTATATTTTACCCAGTTTTTTGGTTGAAAATGATTAAAGACATACAAGTACAAAATATTTTACATTACTTAAAAAAATCTGTAATCTTAAAAATAAATAAATAAGATAAGATTTAAAACGACCTTTAAAGTTGTCTAAAGTTTAAAGTTGACCTTAAGTTTACAGTAGGACATTTATGTGGTAAAATCAACTCAAACACTTCCCATAAAACACAAGAATATATCATTATATACTACACTCTAAATAAGGACGAAATATGCTCAAATAAGGACAAACCCAACATTTGTGATAATAAAAAAATAACCATTAATCATTAGAAAGAATCATTAAGGAAATAAACCTACAAGATATGTCCATTGTATTGTTGTTTACATTACCTGACAAGTACAATTGGATTATAAAAATATGTTGTCATTCTGACTTGTATAAGATCCAAAACCAACTGGCAGATGCACTTATTTTACAGTTTTTTTTTATTTTGTTTTATTGTAATTGAGGTCAAAATGATTAGCACACCTGTGAAATTTGTTAGAAATTAGTTTTAAAATGTAATGGGAAAAAACCCTTCTCTAAACAAGACTTGCAAAATATTTATAAAGGGATTAAAATATCACATGGAGGGCTGAAAATTCTGACTTCAACTGCATATGAAGAGTTCAGATGCAAAAACCTCTAAATGGCGTCTGAAATTTTCTTCAAAAACAAGTGTTTTTATCAGACTTCAGTATTTAGGTTCAGTAATTTCACTTATATGGCAAATAATAAGTTCTTTTCATTGTTGTTAAAGTGAAATAACCCATCATAAACAAAGAAAGCTGAGAATGTACTCATTTTTGATGGAAATTTCAGACAGCACTTCATAATATAGAACTCTTCATATATAAATAAATATTCATAAAAATGCAGCAGATTTGGTAAACTTAGCTTGGATTGTTTTATGGATATCAACTGTTTTAATCTATGTTTGCATTATTGTAATCATCATATATCAATCAAACACTGTTGCAAATACAAACCACTTGACGTTTGATTTAAAATGTTATACTGCATGTGTTTCATTCTCTGTAGTTCCTCCTCCACCAACCCACTGTATTATGAATGAGATCTGTCCCCGAGTCCCACCCAGTGCACTGCATACTAAAGTAGATTTCTATTCCTATGTCTCTGTGTTTATTTCTGTATGCGTGTTTGTGCAGATTGTTTCTCGTCTAAAGGAGAAGACAGGCTCTTTCGTCGTTTATTCAGGAGGTATAATCAGTTCATTCGGCCAGTGGAAAATGTGTCTGACCCTGTTACTGTGGAGTTTGAGGTCTCCATCTCACAGCTTGTTAAAGTGGTAAGAGAAACCTTTGAGTACCCAATGCATCAAAACACTTTTTTTGTCCAGTATTAATAGAGAATCATAATATATAGGAAAAGTTTCAGTTTTGAATATTATTAACTAATATTAATTTAGACACGCTTTATTTTTAACTTATTATTAATGTTTGCTTTTCTCACAGCTCATAATACAGTTAGTTTTCCATTCTTAAATGAAACGTAACACTTAACCAAACTTTATACTAACTAACTATATATTGTTAATTGTTGTTATTTAAAACTTAAAAAATAATGTTTTCATTTTATAAAGACACATTTAAAACAAAGTTTGAATTTTTTTTATTGATTTATGTAAATATACAAATGTTTCACATGCATATTTTAAATGTTATATTTGTGTTACATGTGCAATCATCAAACACTTACTTTAATAAAAAAAAAATTAATTAATAACACTGATAAATGTAAAAAAAAAACTAAAAAAAAAAACTAAATATATTTGTATTTCATTATGTAACCTATACTATTGGGATGCCTAAGAAAATAGTTCACACACAAAAAAAAGGCATTTTATTCAGCATGTACTCACGCTCAAGTGGCTCTAACCTTTTTGAGTATTTTTTCTTTTTTGTTGAACCAAATTGAAGACATTTTTAAGAATGCAGAAAACCATTGATCCATAGTAAGAATAAACATGCTAAGGAAATCTTTTAGTTTAATTATTATTTTTTACATTTTTCAAAATACCTTATTTTCTGTAAGAAAGAAACTCAAACAGGTTGGGAACAAGTGAAGAATGAGTTAATAATTATCATTTTTGAGTGAATTATCCTTTTAAATTCATTTGTAACATTTAAGCATGATTCATTCATTCATTGTTTTATTCATTCAAACCACACCTTTAAATTTTAATACTGGCCGTTTATGTGTAATAATATTAGTTTATCAGTGTTTTCCTGCATTTTCAGTCTGTTTTTAATAAAATGTACCTTTTATGATGTATGTTTTGTGACAGAGCTTAGCAAACATTCAAAACAATGCTCTGTACAAAATGTATTTCATTCATGCATGGGTAAAAAGTTTTTCATTTGTGTGCTTGAACATATGGTATTTTTTTATCAGTTGAGAACTTGTGAGAACTTGTATAAAATGCTTTAAATTTTAATAGGCTGTTTTTTTTTCGTTTTTTTTTTTTTTTTTTTTTTACAGAATTTAACTCAATTTTATTTATAATGCACTTTAAAACAGCACAGTTGACCAAAGTGCTGAAAATAAAGAGTAAAACAAAGCATAACACATACTTTAAAATACATATAAATAAACATAAAACATAAAATGTCAGCATCTCATGCTGCGCTAAAAGCCAAATTGAAAAAGTGGGTTTTAAGAAGAGATTTAAAAACAGTAATGGAAGAGGCTTGTCTAATATACAGAGGCAGCCCATTCCACAATTTAGGTGTGGCCACAGCAAAAGCTCAATCCCCTCTGAGCTTTAGACTGGTCCTGGGCACTCCCAGGAGGAGCTGGTTGGCTGACCTGGGTGAACAAGAAGGTTTGTAGAAGAGCTCAGAGAGGCAAAGAGATGCAGCATCATTAAGAAACTTTAAAACAAATCAAAGTAACTAAAAATGGATCCTAAAATGCACGGACATCCAGTGAAGAGGAGATAAAACCAGGGTGAACAAGTTGCAGTCGACAAATAGAGGACCGACTCACCGCAAAATAAAGTGCATTACAGTAGGTGGGTGGTTACAAAGGCATGGACTGCTGTTTCAGAAAAATGAAAGATGTAAGAAGCTTGTTTGGATTACATGGATGTCTCTGGTCCATGTTGGATTGTAGCAGAATTGGTTTAGAAATGAACTAAAACCCTTATCTGTCCTGGGGATGACAGTTTTCGCATGTACTGTTTAATGCACTGTAAAAAGCTTAGTTTAGTTTAGTTTACTAAAAAAAAGTTAGTAAACCTGCCTTAAAAGTAGGCAAATCTGTTATAACTTTGAACTGTTCAGTGACAAGGTTAATTCCTGCATATAGTTAATTTACTTATACATTTTAAGGTTATTTCTTAAGTTAACTAATCACTTTAAAAATGTAACCTCGTCAGTCCTACACCACCTAACATGCTCCGAGTTGGTATCGATTCGATGATCTTCTGCATGGGAGTCAGTTGCTCTACCAAGGAGGCTGAAGACCATGACCTCTATTGTCTGTCGCTAGTGCACCTTTAGACAGGTCAGAGGTGTGAGGTTTACCTACAAAGCACTTACTAGCTGGCCTCTGTTACAAAAGCAATAGGTTTACTCGTTACAGTAAGTTATCAAATTACTTTTACAGTGTACACAAACAAGTCTGTACACTATAAAGTACATATTCTGGATGATTATGTTCTACATAACAAAGTACTACCTTATTAACCATTAATAAGCAGCAAATTAGGATATTATTGAGGCAGAATTCATAGTTAAGGGTTTGTTAATAGTGAAAATTTTACCTTGAAGGGGAAGTATTATGCAAAAAATCACTTGTATCAGGGGTTTTAACACAGTTGTGTGGCTATAACCTGTAAAAATAACCAGCTTCTTATGGTAAAAAATGTATTTGTTTTGTTTTTTATAATCACACATCATAAAAACAGTCAACCAAAACACTTTCCCTTGTGCATATCATGAGGGGGAACGCCCTTCCCACTGGTGACGATCTCTCGCTCATTAGGATAGGATCTTACTCTTGTTTTTGTCTGCCACTATGCTGACACATTGGCATTTGTAACTCTGCCCTCTTTTGAAAATCTCGTTTGAATGTAAAGCGACAGTTGGCAAAATGGCAAACTTAGGATCTAAGCCTAAAAGAGGTAGTTTCAAAGAGTTATAAAACATTATCTGTGTGGTATTTTGAATTTAAACATCACATATGCACATGGGGACATCAGAGACTTATTTTGCACATTGTAAAAAGAGGCATAATTGGTCCCCTTTCAAATAAAGTTTAACCCAAGCCAAGTTTTGCTGTGTTGCTAAAGACAAATATCCATCTTTTGTTACAATACACATCTGATTAGTTTATCTATAATATATAACATCTTTTTTCCCTATTTTCAAAATGGAAAAAAGGCATGATTAGCTTTGCAGGTGCCTTTTAGTGAATGGAATTCTGTGCTGTTTTCAGTTGTTGTGAGGGCTTTTTGTTTCATTTACTGTGGTCAGATAGAGCAATTGAGTTAAAAGCCTTCGTGCCCCACTGTTACAGGAAGCAGTGCAGACTCTGTGCTTTCCCCGGCGTCATACAAATCAGCACTCCTCTTCAAACTCCTGGATTAAATTTCCACTTCACCGGGGAAAGCAGCCAAGATTATCAGCGCACCTTTATTCTTGCTTCACTAAGACAGACACCTAAAAGATTAACAAGCCATAACCCACCACTCTACAGACTACAATCCTGGATTATAGATTATACTCACTCACAGGATTTAAGACATTTTGCTTAGCTAGCATTTTTTTGCAGATGTTTTCTTGTGAGTATGCAGGAGTCATTATCGGTGCTGAGGGTCCAGTATGCACTTGGAGCTACAGTAGATGAAATAATGATGAAAGTACTTCTAGAATGTTAACCCTCTATTCTAAGCTTATATCAGATCCTTTTTCCCCTGAAGGCAAGAGCTGTATTGATTTTATTCCTAGAACATGTTCTATCTTAAATAATACAGGATGCTATCTTTGTTTCTGATTGTTTCTATCTTTGCTTTTGCTCGTGTCTTCCTGTCTATAGGATGAAGTCAATCAGATCATGGAAACAAACCTTTGGCTGAGACATGTAAGTGGAGTGTGTGTGTGTGTGTGTGTGTGTGTGTGTGTGTGTGTGCAGCACGTAGGCCTTGTGCATGCATTTCTGTCAACAAAAAACAAACAAACATCCCATCCTCTTTATGTCTTGTTATGCCACTGACAGAATGAATGCACCATTGCGCAAAACTGTGAATAGCACAGGCATACCTCAGGAAGGGGTTGAGTAATGCAGAGAAATAAGAATTCAGTAGATATGTACAGGGAACAAATGAGGTGGTGGAAACAGGACATCGTGCAAAAGAAAATTTCTATAATGGAAAACTGAGAGGCAACACAATTATTATCTCTGAAAATGAATGGAAAGAAGGAGGTTAAAAAGATGGAAATGTATTTGCAGGAAAAGAGTTTAACTAGATCAAACAGTTCACTTTATTGTTTTAATAATATGCTGAATAATAATAGCCTACTGTTATGAAGACTTCATAGTCAGCAAAAATTGTTTTGGTAATTATTTAGTTGAACATATAATTTAGAGAAAATGTTTTTGTTTCCCTTTTATGCTCCAAGTATAATGCATGCATCCTATGAGCTTGGATTTGTATAAAGTGCTGCAGTTTTATTTCAAGTTTTACAGTGAAAACACTTTTTGGTTAAATAAAATATGTTTGTTTACTCACACTATTATCTACGATGTAGATGTATTTTTTTAGTCTGTAGAGCATACAATGTTTTTAACTGAAACCATAGTCCAGGACAAAGGCTTCTAAAATTAATAAAATTAAACAAATTACTGAGTAATGATGCATATGATCATATGGTGCTGTTTTTTTTATTTGTATTTTTTATTCAGGACAACTTGTTATATACTTCAGACTACTTCAGTATTTAAACCTGTAATATTCATTTCATACAATTGATGGATGGTTTACTAACATAATAGTTTTTTATGTTACGTCATTGGTTGATTATTTAAACAAACACTTGAATCAGATATACTGACATCTGTCTTAATTAGTTCGCAAAAATTAAACAGACTTTGTTTAATGGTTAATTCATCCCAAAGTTAAAATTATGTTATTAATTACTCACCCATATTCATTGTTCCAAACCCCTGAGACTTTTATTTATCTTCAAAATGCAAATAAAAAATTTTAGGTGAAAGTTTCATGACTCCAGAAATTCCAAAAAGATATCAAAAACATCTTTAAAACAGACCATATGCCTTCAGTGGTTCAATCTGAATATTATAAAGCAACGAGAATACTTTTGTGTGTAAAAAAAACAAACAAACAAACAAACAAAAAACTTTATACAGCGGTTTCTTTTCCACAGTATCAGTATATTGTGCACCACACAGTGATGTTGGATGCTGGTGTGCAATTTCCTTTGTTTGAAACAAAGCACAAGTGCATCCAAGGTGATAAAGTATGTTAGAAATGAGACCCAGTGTGCTATACTGCATACAATACTAAACTGACAATACCTAATATTACTAAGCACATTCATTTATTTATTCATTCATTCATTTTCTTTTCGGCTAAGTCCCTTTATTAATCAGGGGTCGCCACAGAGGAATGAACCGGCAACTTATCCAGCATAAGTTTTTACGCAGCGGATGCCCATATAGCCACAACCCAACACTGGGAATACACTCTTGCATTCACACACATACACTACGGCCAATTAAGCCTATTCAATTCACCTGTGCAATTCACATGTGTTTGGACTGTGGGGGAAACTGGAGCACCCGGAGGAAACCCACACCAACACTGAGAGAATATGCAAACTCCACACAGAAATGCCTACTGAGCCATCCAGGGCTGGAAACAGCTTCGACAACACCTCCAGAACCTGGAGAATTGTGCATTATCTGTTAATACATTAGCATAAAGCTATTAAATATCTTTAGAATGCAATTTGTAACAATGGGAATTTATTAGGGGTGTAATGATACACTCAGCTCACGATACGATGTGTATCACGATATAATGTTCACGATTCGATATGTATCACGATATTTGGAATAAAAATTGAAAATTAAACTGAAATGCAAATTTTACCAAGTATATTATTTTTAATGTATTTCTTTTGTTTCAACTTGTTAAACTGAACCTTCTTTAAGAAAATAAATTAAACAGGCCTGTCTCTGGAAAATAAAACAATTTAAAAACTTCTTAAAAAATATTATTGAAATGACAGAGACAAAATTAAGGAACAATTTAAGTAAAAATGCAAAAAAATAAGCTTTCTATTCAATTGAATTTAACAGTAAGAGCTTAAGGCTTTGCTTGGTCACTTGCGTTTTTTGTGTGTGCAAAAAAAAAAAAAACACCATATCGCGCTCACACCATATCGGGCCTCGGCGGCACGCTTACGTCATCGCTGCTGCGCTGTTCAGAAGCGCTCTCTATGGCAAGCCTTTTTAGCATTTAAAACTTTGTTCTGACTCCATAAATATATTTAGAGATATCTCTAATTATATTTTGACTAGTCATAACTATAATTCGACTAGTCAGAATAACAATTAGAGATATCTGCAATTACAATTGTACTAGTACGAAATCAGATTGGAGATATCTGCAATATTATGACTAGTCATATTCCTCTATTGACTTCCATTGAAAAATATTTGCAGATAGGCTTATCTCTAAATGAGTTTTGACTAGTCACAATTGTAATTAGAGATATCTCTAACTGAGTTTTTACTAGTCATAATACATTTGGAGATGTCTTTAATTCGTCATATTTAGAGATATTTACAAATATATTTGAAGATACCTCTAATTAATTTACTAATAGTCGAATTACAGTTGTAGATATCTTGAATTGGATTTTTGACAGGTCAAAACTCATTTAGAGATATCTGCAAATATTTTTCAATGGAAGTCAATGGAGGAATATGACTAGTCATAATATATTTGCAGATATCTCCAATCTGATTTCGTACTAGTACAATTGTAATTGCAGATATCTCTAATTGTCATGCTGACTAGTCGAATTATAATTATGACTAGTCAAAATATAATTAGAGATATCTCTAAATATATATTTATGGATAGTCAGAACAAAGGTTTAAATGCTAAAACGGCTTGCCATACGCACGCGTCTATCAAAGTCTGCCCTCTGTAGTAACAGCTCACAGTCAGCTAACGTCATGAGTGATTTTGCGGCGGGAACATTATATGAAGACAGAATGATATTTTAGGGTGAATTGTACCTTATAAATACAGTGTGTGACTCTTTCAACACCATTAGGAGGTATCCCTGTCGCTGTGCAAAGTATGTAAATCACTGTGAAGACTTTAAAACTTAGGATGTTTGACCCAGTATGCGTGTCAAAAGCGGACGAGTCTAAAGCAATGACTGTACAACCGAAATGTTGCCAGACGTCTGATTTTGAGAGGATGGGCCATCCTCTATTTCAGCTCCACTCATCTTGGTCTGCTAACATTACTGCTGCTGCAATCTGAACTCACGTGCGACAGCAGGTGGAACGTAGCTCACGTGCAAACAGCTCAACTAATAAGAGAAAACGGACGTCATATCGTAATCAAATCGTCATAACGCCACGATGCATATTGTGACATTTTTGCATCGCAATAAATCGTACAACGATAAATCGTTACATCCCTAGAATTTATATTAACAGTTTAATTAAAAATGTGATTTTTGTCATAGATATGGAATGACTACAAGCTGAAGTGGTCACCAGCAGAGTTTGATGGAATTGAGTTCATCAGAGTCCCATCCAATAAAATCTGGAGGCCTGACATTGTACTTTACAACAAGTGAGTCTTTCAACCTAACACTAAAGCTGTATACATATGTATGAATTAATGTTTATTGTAAGTTTGGCAATATTCCTAGGTCCCTCATTTTGTTTTGAGTGACATGAACACAGAGTTAATAGTCCGATAAAATATTAATTGATTAATGCTTTTCATACTTTTTTTTCTGACACAGTGCTGTTGGGGACTTCCTGGTGGAGGACAAAACCAAAGCCCTTTTGAAATTTGATGGAACCATCACTTGGGTCCCACCTGCAATTTTCAAATCTTCCTGCCCTATGGACATCACTTACTTTCCTTTTGACTATCAGAACTGCTCTATGAAGTTTGGTTCCTGGACGTATGATAAGGCCAAAATTGACCTGGTTCTTATCGGCTCTAAGGTCAACCTTAAAGACTTCTGGGAAAGTGGAGAGTGGGAGATCATTGATGCACCGGGTTATAAGCATGACATCAAGTACAACTGCTGTGAAGAGATCTACCCAGATATAACCTACAGTTTTTATATACGCCGACTACCCCTCTTCTACACTATCAACCTTATAATCCCCTGCCTCCTCATCTCTTTTCTGACAGTACTGGTTTTCTACCTTCCGTCAGACTGTGGCGAGAAGGTGACCTTGTGCATCTCTGTACTTCTATCTCTCACTGTGTTCCTTCTTGTCATTACGGAAACCATCCCATCTACTTCACTTGTGATCCCTCTGATTGGCGAGTACCTTCTCTTCACCATGATCTTCGTAACCCTCTCTATTGTTATCACTGTCTTTGTACTGAATGTGCACTATCGCACCCCTATGACCCACACTATGCCCAGCTGGGTCCGCACTGTCTTTCTTCGAGCTTTACCCCGCATCATGCTCATGCGCAGGCCTCTTGATCTATCAGAGTCCTCTGGAAAAGGAGGACTAGAAACTGGGGGCTCGTCCGGGACAGGAGCAGGGCGCGGAGGAGAGGGGAAGAAGAGAAAGAATAGTGGATCCCAACAGGGTGCAATGAACTCTCTGGAATTTGGAGAGGGGAAAGCAGCATTGGAAGGAAAGAAAGGAGGATGCCCATGTCATCCACTGAAAGAAGCAACTGAGGGAGATTGTGGGAAAGTCAGCCGTCAATTAAGTCCACAGGCTATTAATACAGTTGTGGCTTTCTCTGTCGTGTCACCGGAGATCAAACAGGCTATTGAAAGTGTGAAGTACATTGCTGAGAACATGAGGAGCCGCAACAAAGCTAAAGAGGTAAAGAGTTTTCCATTTAATTGTTCCACCCTGTACAATACATTGACTATTAGCAATTTTCTCTTTGGATTATGAGGCTGATAAAATTTGATCCCCCTGCCAAAAAATTACACTGCCATGAAACTTGACAGAGCTCAAAGTCAAGCTTTTCTGTCGCAACAGAATGTAGATGTCTTTCACATTTTATTCAGATTGGAAGCGATCTGACCTTAGTATAGGGGCAGCCATGGACTAATAGTTAGAGAGTTAGACTTGTGATCTAAGGGTGTTTTTACACCTGCCTTATTTATTTCGGTTGAATCGCTCTAGAGTTCGTGTTCCCTCTTGGTGCTGTTCGTTTGGACAGGTGTGAATGAAGCAATCGCACTCAAGTGCGCACCAAAAAAAGGTCTTGATACACTTTCAAACAAACCCTGTTTGTGATGAGAACATGATCCAAACTAGAACAGACCTGATTACCTGATGGATTGTTTGTAATATTTCCAGAAGATGAACATGTCGCAGTTTAGCAAAATAAATTCACACCTCCTCCTGAAGTGACTTGCAATGCTCCTTCGCCATTTGTGATGTGTTAAAACATTGTTTTTCTTCATGTTCGAAATGCATAGTCTTTAGTGACAACAAACTATATAGAATACTATGACCAGGGATACAATCAGCCAGTGCAGTCATCCCTCCATAATAACATTTTTGTGTCTGGTTTGTTTACTTGCGGGAGTTCCTTTGGCATTTTCCCACATGTTAAATCTGACCAATCGAAAATAGTATAACAATAACATCAACAGTAACACCTGGCCAATGAGTGATGTGAATTTTGTCACATGACTGCATATTGGTTCTTTTCAACTGATTTGGACCAAAGCAATCAGTGTGGCGTGAAAAGGACCCCAAAATGGCAGAAAAATGCTATAATGTATTATTTGTTGCCCTTGGTCTGGACCAAATGAACCGAACCCCAGATGTGAAAGCACCCTAAGGAACGCATGTCCGAGTCCTGGCACCAGCAAGGATTGTAGTTGGGGGGAGTGAAAAAACAGCACTTCTTTTCCACTGTCAATTAAGAAAAGTTCCTAAGGCACAGAACCCCCAACTGTTCCCAGGGCATCTCACTGCTTGAGGTGAGAGAGAGTTGCTTTGGATAAAAGCATCTTATTAAATGCTAAAATGTCAAATGTTATTTACCTGCTTGAGTTGATGGCTCCAACAGTGTTAGTAGAAGTCAAGTAAGGTTCTTGTTGGTTTTAGCTTTTCATTGATTTGTTTCATCTAGCTTTACATATACTACTCACAGGAGAGTGGGAAAGACATCTTTAGGCCCGTGGAGAGAGCACATTTTGTTGCCATTCAGTCTGTCTTGCCAAAGTGTGATAAAAGATAGGGGATGATGTACCTTGTAAGGTCATACTGTGACTGTTTGCACAAGCTACATTCTATAGGCCCAACCCCAGTTCTACCCCTTAGCCTTTCCCCTCGTTTTGTGCATTCGCGTGATGGGTGGATTTAGGTGGTATGTGCCAATTCTCTTGAAGGCATAGGGTTAAGGTGAAGAGCTAGATAGCCCTCGCAACTGAGATTTTTCAGGACCACACTCAAAACCAAGGGGTAGGAAAATCTCCCAGAATACACTCTTTACAACAGCAGTATGGCTGCACACATAACTAAGGAGATGCACAAATTTGTATTTTTGTAATTAATATGAATTTTTACAACAAACAAGCATAAATTTCAATACATTAATAACGGCGTTCATGTTTTACTCGGTAAAAAAAAAAAGCTAAAATAAAAACTAAATTTTGCTATCTAAAATCCCTAATAATAACTCCTGTATAGCAGTCCCACAACATCTGTCTCTCTATGACACTCGAAGGCCCTGTCAGAAAAGTCTAGTGGCTGGGAATGAACTTTTTACAGTGTCTGCTATAATGTTAATGTTGTTTTTGTGTGTTTACTTAGATTAATATGGCCACGGAGTAAATGCACAGTACAGTACGATCTTATTGCCACATTATATCATTATGATAACATTATAGTGATTTCCTGAAGATAAATACCAAAAAATAGCTCAACTGAAACAACTACAGCAGTCGCTGTCGTAAATCTCATATGACGCAAGAGCTCACAATGACATATGATGACGGGTGCAGGTGTTGTAGTGCAGTCCCGTTTGTTAGGGTCAAATTTTGAAGCCCTTCCCCTTCACACTTTTTTTCAGAGGCCAAGGGCTAGGGGTGGGGGTTTAAAAATAGTATTGGGATTGGGCCTTAAAATTACAGTTTTTTTTTTTGTTTTTTTTTTCATAAAATTGTTGTCAATGGAGTGAAAATACATTCAGCATGTTCTGATCATAACAGACAACAAAACTGCTGTGTCTTACATGAGGCAAAGGGTGGACCTTCTTTACAGAGGAGGACCCTGTCTCAGGGAAGGACATCTTCAAGGGTGAACATAGATCTCCCTTGACAATGCGGGTCTCTTTGAATTGGGTGGAAATACAATGTGTGCTTTGTTTTATATATAACAGTTTAATGGTTTCCCAGAAAAGACAAATACATGCATGACTAGCCCAAGGTTATTTGTTTATAAATTTCCTGTTGTGCCTGCAAAAAGATGGTATTCTTACATCACTGACCTTCTTGCAGGACAACCTTTGTTTTTCCTAGTTGTTTTAGATCTGCTCACCCAACCAAAGGAGAAAGTGCTGTGTTCTTGGTCGGAGCTATGGGCTATAAGGTCTGTTTTAGGGCTTAGTATTGTATCTAAAGTTTAGCGTGATAGATTTCTTTTAAAAAAGTTTATTTATTTATTAATTGTTCCTGGTTATTATGAAAGTCAAACTAGAACAAATTTATCAGCTTGTCACAAGGAAATCAGCTGGGCTACCCTTGAGGCATGAGGCCTTTTTGATTGATTGAGTAAATATTTGGCTCTTTTACCGTTCCAGCCCATTGTACGGCACAGACTAAGCAACATCATTTACTGAATCTCTTGGCATGTAACAGCCTGAGGGAGTACACAGTCATTCAACTCGTGGGAAGACTGCTTCAGAGCTGTCGTATTAATTCCTGTTCTATATTTGCTGGAATCATTGGGCGTGAGTATTGGTCTCACTGTCAATGTGATCCACATAGTAAAGCAAATAAATATAACTATGAATACATAAGGACTATTCCAGAAATAGGGAGGCACTTGAATCATCACAGCCTTATTCTATAGAAGCTACAGTAAAGAGGCTTCTTGAACCATAGGTATGATGTATCATGTCACTGATTAGGGGATTCTCAGCCAAACAATTCAAATGTGATTTCCAATAGCCAATGTGTTGTACCTTGATTCTGTTTCTTTCTGTAAATGATAATTAAAGGTCTAACAGTACCTTTACTCACAAGTCAACTGAATCAATCAATCAGTCTTTTTTGTCCTATCCACTTTCCATTCATATGCTATAATGTCTTCATTATAAAGAACCTCATCGCCCACTGGAACAAGTTGCCCACTCAGTGTCTGACTCAAATTCCAACATCATTTTATGCTTTGGTTGTAATGTCCTCAGAAAGACAGGTTGTATATCACAGTCATCAAGCTTACAGAAAAGACTCAGCTACTCTCAGTGGAAATGTTTACTGAGTGCTTCACTGACAATAAGTGCTTTAGATTCCTCAGTGGAGACATCACACTTTGATATGGAAAGTCTCAGCACTTCATCCTTCATCTTCATTTTTGGCTCAGAGCCTAAGTACTGAATCACATTAGCATTGTAAAGCAGCCAGTGCCTAAATACGTGGAGGAAAACGGTTTCACATATTTCTGCTTATTGTAACACAGTCAAATTTAGCTTATCCCCATGTAGCATGAGAAAAACATTCTGAACTGGTGATAAGCCTGCATTTCACAACATAGACTCTTGAAAACTTAGCCACATATAAGTTTCTGGAGATCGCAAATTATGTAGCCAGAAGTACATATAGCTGCATTTTGTTTTTAAAATGAACGATACGGGGTGGTATGATGCCGTTTCTTTCACGCTTACCAGCTGACCGCTTACGTCCATATGGACAGCTTTCCTGCTGTTACTAGTTTGTCCAGTTAGCTTGTCATGTACAGTACATTGGTGGACTTGAGATGCAGAGAGGAGTTGACCATGATGACAGGGTTTGAGTCAGGTGAAGAACAATTTCAGTAAGCAGGGGGCTGTTTCATAAAAGTTGTTTAGAAAAGCGGGGATTAAAGTCAAAATCCAGACTTCAGTAAGCCGAACTAAATGTCCATGCTTAAATTAGTTCAGTAAATTAAAGATCATTTGATTTACTATTAAGTAACTATAAAGTTTTAATCATTATTAAGAGATAAGTTAAACGAATTAAAATGGCATCAAACTACGAAAGTTAAATGTTAATAATACCTTGATTAAGCTTGAACAACCTTGATTAAGCCTGAGAATTAACCTGTCCTGAGCCAGGCTAGTTTTCCAGCATAAGTTTGAACTATCGTAAATTTGATTTATGAAACCGAGTCCCCCATTAATAAACCTGACTCACCAAAATAAGCCTGTTTTTTTCTGTGAGCTTGGTTTATGGAATAGGTCCCTGGTAAGACAAAAACGGAATCCTAAAAAAAAAAATAACAATAATAAACAAGTAAATAACAGGGTGAGAATGTGGTAAAATCTGAAAACAAGGTAAAAATCAGATGAGGGCTTTTCTTTTTTTAAATTGCTTTTTAAAATTGTTGGTTGGGTTTAGGGAAGAGCATGTCAATCTGTGCCTTTGAAAATTCAATTGTTTGGGTTTGGGGGTTTGGGGAAGAAGGAGGGTGAATCAGTCGATCAGTCAGTCAAACAGTCAGTCGACAGCGGCCTCTGGTGGGTTTTTGTAAGAACAGCAGGCTTGAATGACTTCGCGAGATAAATTTGGATTCTCAAAAAGTATACAAAGCAGCCTCTGGTGATTCGCGAAAACAAAAACTGCAAAAAATGTAGTAGCTCCTGGGTCATATTTGGCGCTCTCCAGAAAAGCATATAAAGTTATGTTTTCAGAATGAGTCTTTGTTGGCATTTCATTCATTCTCATCCTCTATTTGCCATTTTCTCCACCATTTACCTTGCTTTGACATGCTCTCATTTTCTTTCTTTCTCTCATTTTCTTTTCTTGCTACCTCTAACCTCTCCTTTCTTTCATTTATTAACCTTCTTTTTTCCCCCTCTGCCTATTGTGTGCCCTTTCTCTTAGGTGGAGGATGATTGGAAGTATGTTGCCATGGTGATTGACCGCATCTTCCTCTGGGTCTTTGTGCTGGTGTGTGTGTTAGGAACTTTGGGCCTCTTCCTGCAACCTTTGATTGGCTTCCTCTCGTAATTAACTATGAAACACTAACCAACAATTTTCTGAGTCACTGACATGCTCCGTATTTATTAATGTCACATGTTCCGTCACTACATCAAGACTCTGATAATATAAACTATACACAGGTGCCCTTGTACAGCAAATATCCAATCAGTTTTCCTCTGCCACTAATCACTTGGATGGTTAAAGGCTGATTTTGGCCTTTTAACAATCATTGACTTTGAAACTTGACTATAAGTGAACCTTCCAATCACAACCCATCTTAAAGAACTGATGTCTATAAGAAGACTAATCAGGCTGATTGGTGTGTTCACTACTCAAATCTGACTTGCTAATCTAATTACACGGGTTTGTACCAAACAACATTGTCATCTCGCAGTCACTCAGGAAAATCTACTAACAGACAGCAAGGTTGATTCCTTAAAAGAGGATGAAAATTAAATTTAAACCTAAAGAAATGTGTTGTGTAGACAGTGTTGGGGAGTAACTAGTTACATGTAATGGCATTACGTAATTTAATTACAAAATAAAAATAACAGTAATTTGTTACAGTTACTGAGAAAAAAATGTGTAACTACATTACAGTTACTTATGAAAATGTTAAAGATTACAAATGGAGTTACATCTAAAAATATTCTTTAGAAATCTGGGATATGTTGAATAATATTAATCTGTTCCTTTGCCTGTTTTTGATATGCACGATGCCTTCTGCTAAGGTCATTTTTTTAAAACTCTGCTATTCTGATGCTTTTGATAGACTTTCCGGTTTGATTGCGGCGCATCTAACATCTAACAGTTATGTTAATCCTCTTTGCCGCTGAAAGCATTAGGCTACTACAACCAGCCTTTTATCACATTAACTGTTTTGGGCAGTAGCTACGCCACAAGTAGTGATGCTACTAGCTTAACTACATTTCTCAGTAGTGTGGCAGTAGCGTCGCTACTTTATAAATCAAATAGCTTTTCAGTAGCGAAGCTATTGTATTAGTGAAGTAGCGCAGTAGCGCCCACACAAGCTACATTTACCGATCCGAATCAATACTTGATGTGAGGCTGATGTTTAGCCAATGAAAGTAAATCCATATGAGGGATAACGATTTCTTCTTCTTCCTGTTTTACGGTTGACAACAAACGTTTTGGTGCATTACTGCCACCTCTTGCTCTGGTCGGTGACGTCGCCAACCAATTAGACTAACACGCTAAATTTGCTTGATGGAAAGATGACTGAGGAACAGGAGGTCTAAATAAATAGTTTACTGTAGTAAAGGATAATATGTACTATGGTAATTACGGTAAGTTCATGATAGTTACTAATGATACTACATTATGTAGTGTAGTTTATTAAGATAGAGTCGTAAATATATATACAATATAATACTCTTTCCTAAATATTTCGCTTTACTATAAATTACTACAGTATTTTAAATGTGTAACACATGCTTTTATTGGATTTTTGGTTTTGCTGTTATATATTGTATAGTTTGTTGCTGTTTGGTACAGCATATTATTTGCAGTAAATAACTGAACTGAATAATTATGCCTCACATGTTTCATTGATAGTTTTATTGATCACTAAGATGTGATTGACTTGGATTTAAGTTGCTTTGATTTAGAAATGAAAATTGCAAAACTAGCTTAGATGTTTTTTTTTATTGCAAATGACACAAAAATTACCCTGCACAACTAACTAAAATTTTGTTTTTTAACAACAGTAAACACTTTTTATGGTTATAAGGTCGGATTTTGTGGTGGCTGGACTTTAAAATTAAAATAATATAATCTTAATTCATGTGTTGAAAGATTTTGAAATTTTAACAGTAAACAGAGCTACTCTTAAGGTCACACCTGCTTGGTACAAATGCTTGAAAATGATTTAGTTGAAAATATCCATTAGAAACATAAAAGTAATTAAAAAGTATGTAATTAGTTCATTTACTTTTAAAAAGTAATTGAGAAGGTACACTGCTTATTACATTTTAAATAGGGTAATTTGTAATCTGTAATCTATTACATTTCCAAAGTAACCTCCCCAACACTGTGTGTAGATTAGTTCACCCAAATCTGAGGATAAAAGTGAGCCGTGTAATTATGGGATGGAATTATTCCAGATTATGGGTGATCTAAAAATAAGTTTGAGTTGTAGCATGGCTGCATTCTAGAACAAAATGACTAATCAGGTCCCATTTATGCCAAATAATTTGTTTAGAATGAGATTAATTAATGTTCCCCCCTCTTAGTGTGTCTCATACCAATTGCCTGGTGATTTTGTTTCTCATTTGAAGCAGATGTATTGACCATGATGTTTAAATCCTTAACTGTTTTTTGGGGCTGTGCAGGCTATTAAAATGACTGCTTTCCCTCCCTTTCTTACACTCATACTCTCTCTCTCTCTCTCTCCATCAGAGACATAATCCCCTCTTTAATATCACCATTTCAATTTTTTCCCACTTCCACTTGTCAGCTTCTGACACTTTTTGTAAAATATTTTTAAACAGATGTCTTTCAAATAAAAATAAGTTCTTTTTGTTGTACGCACTATCCTCTCTCTGTCTTACTGCCTGTGTGTTGAACTCAGCAAGCAGCGAGTGTGTTCGTGTGGCGTGTGTCTGTGAAACGCTCATGCTTATCTTGGCTTGGCTGGTACAGCAGAGGTTGAAAGTGCCTCTGGTTTTATGATTGGTTTTAGTAGTATTAGGCCTTTTGAAGTAACAGCTTTCTATAATCATTTCCTAAGTATAAAAGCGGTTTCAGAACTATCTGAATTAACTCTTGCAAAGACATAATCCTCTACAACTGTTTACGGGGTGTGGAATTTACAGGCTTTGCAATTTTATTGCCACGTTGTACAGTAATCTAAGGTGAACAATGATTTAAAGAGGAATATATGCTATGTTTATATATTATGTGTTCATATACAGTTGAAGTCAGATTAACCCTCCTAAATTATTCGCCCCCTGTACATTTTTTTTAACGGAATTTGTTTAACGGAAAGAATATTTTTTTTCAACTCATTTTTTAAACAGTTTTAATAACTCATATTTCTAATAACTGAATTATTTCATGATGACAGGAAATAATATTTTACTACAAATATTTTTTAATATATAGTATTCCGCTTAAAGTGCTATTAAAAGGCTTAACTAGGTTAGGCAAGTTTGGCTAATTAAGTGGGTAGCCCTTCGAATGTGCTGCTCGGCATTGTGACACGGCTCGCACATGGCTGTTGAAAGTATCATATACCAGACGCGCAAATTTCCATAATATTTAAAATGAAACCATTCAGATGCCGCTCTGTAGTGCGGCAGAAATATGAATAGTGTCCTGAGTCGTAGCTGGGACAGTTACCTACTTGTGGCACCGATGTGCGCACCCTGATAGAAATCTATGTTTATGTCACCGAGTGGCTCATCAGTTGTGCGACCACCTTTTGGCAAGTCATTTTATAACAATGGTTTGCTCAGTAGCCATTGGAAGAAAAAATTTGCTGAAGGGGGCTAATAATATTGACCTTAAAAACTGCTTTTATTCTAGATGAAATAAAACAAATAAGACTTTCTCTAGAAGAAAAAAAATTATCAGATATATTGTGAAAATATTCTTGCTCTGTTAAACATTTGGGAATTATTTTTTTTAAATCACATGTTTGTTGTTTACATGACATTGCATTTTCACTTTCACGTATAATTCACAATTCATAAATTTAATAAATTTTGTCACTGAATAATATGTCCTCTGGAGTGACTTTATATGTTAATTTTTAATCTGCAATTTCATAAAAAACGGTTGGGGGACCCCATTTAAAATCATGCCACTGAAGCCCCCTGTGACACCCATGAAATGAACCTCTTTTAAACCTTTTTTTTTAACCAATATTAAGTTTTGATGTGCTATGGTGTGTGACACCCCATTTAAGGAAGTTATTTAATGAATTTATAGAGAAACAAAATATTATTCATAATTTTATACAAAATAAATAGTACCATACAAAGTTAAGTCCAACAATGAAGATAAATCACATTATTTGTATATACTTCTGAGTTGTTTTTCTTAATTTTTGCTTTGTCATACAATATTTTTACAGTACAACACAGTAAAAAAGTGAAAGAAATTAAGTTAGTGACTTATATTTTCTCAAACATCAGACTTAAACTACATAAATAGAAAAAAGTTTTACAAAAATATTTTTTAATAGAAAAAAACATTCACATATATTCTCAAATGTAAATTAAGATTTTTAAGCAATTCTAATGTTTTTCCCCTGTATTTGCACATTGTTTTTCTGTTTAAATGTACATGCAAGCAATTTACAGTCTTCTCAGGTGTTCTCTCCTCACCCAGCACCAATTGTGTGGCACCAATATACACACAAGCTATAGGTGCTGAGAAGCAATAAAAAATAAAGTGGTACAGTAGAGACAATTATTAGAAGGTCATGACTGATAAGAGGTAATGGGACCCAGGGTTAGAGTCCAATTTTTTTTCTAAGAAGTGCAATGCTACAGAAAGTCTGGATCTAGATTTAAATCTTTTATAAAGGACTGTGCTTTTTGTCAGAATAATGTCATTATCACTATACCAGTGCATTAGAACTAATAGAGATTGCAGAGTAAGAGACTGTCACTGCCTTTAAAAACAATTAACAGCAACCTAATTTCAAGATTTTCCATCCAGGTACCAAACAGGTTCAACCCTGATTAGTAACACAATACTTAATCTAACCATAATTCATTTATAAATACATTTTCAAATTACTACATAAGAGCAATTTTCACAAATGGTAAATTGAGGGCACTCAGTGCTCCTCCTTTGAGGGAGAAAGAACAAAGCATATGGCAAATGAGATAGAGCAGAAAGACTGTGAAAAGACAGGGCAACGTCTGCACTGCTTAATGTTTAGGAACGTCTGTTTTTTTCTTAATTAATTTCATTTTCTTTTCGGCTTAGTCCCTTTTTTTTCTGGGGTCGCCACAGCAGAATGAACCGCCGACTTATCCAGCATATGTTTTACTCAGCGGATGCCCTTTCAGCTGCAACCCATCTCTGGGAAACATCCATACACACTTATTCACACTCATACACTACGGACAATTTAGCTTACCCAATTCACCTGTACTGCATGTCTTTAGATGGTGGGGGAAACGGAGCACCCGGAGGAAACCCACGCGAATGCAGGAACATGCAAACTCCACACTGGCTCGAACCAGCGACCTTCTTGCTATGAGGCAACAGCACTATCTACTGCGCCACTGTGT